TTTACATATTCAATTCTTAGATACTATGCACATATGTTACAACTTTATGGTTATGCAAATGAAAGCCATTTTATCTTGTTCGTTCTCACGGATTGATACAGTAGGTGGTTGTTAATTACTTCTCTTTTCTTTATGTATTCAGGTCACATAATCAGCTCTAGTTCAACAAGCTTCATGGTCATTGGATGACCTTTCACAAACAATAGCTTGTACCATTCACCAGGGATCAAATGTCACAAGCATGGAAATCCATCATTCTCATCATACATTATTTCTTGGTATTTTCCTAACCTGTTGTTTCTATGTCCCTTCTAAATCAATCGAGGAATTTTTACTTCACCACACAATCATGTTCTCTTTCCTGACTTGGACTATCTTTTGTATAGTTGGTTTTGATAATGGTGAAATTACACTATGGGAAATTGCTTTACGAGAGAGGTTGGTTTCAAAGCCATTCAAGATATAGGAGATTACAAATTGCTCAGTGCCATTTTAGGTTCTCTTTGTTCTCTTAATCAAAGATTCGTCAAAAAGAAAAAAAAAAAAAGACAATGTCCTACTTCTATTTTTCTTTGGAAAACCTTGGTTTGTTTACCTTCTCTAAGTTCTTATAGATGTAATGTCTTACATAGAAAAATAACATCTGAATATGAACTCATTAGCTATTGATTATGGGGTGACCATTTAGAAGAAGAATTTATTAAGGTGTACTATGGCATTCATATTCTAGAATTTGATTTGTTTTTCCAATATAGTTAATGTTGTAACCTAAAAACTGACAAACATGGCTGACCTGAACCTATAGTTAAGGTCAATCTACTAGATATAATTATATGCCACATTTGGTTTTGGCTTTTACTAATGTCATACAAATTGATGAAACTAATAGTGTTTAAGATGAATTGATAAGGAAACTAACCATGTAACTTACCATTGTAAAAGATTCATCAATATCTATCAGTCGTATAACATGGAGTCTAGAGGGAACTTTGTTGGGTACGACCACCAACTTATAATCAAATAAAGTTTATCTACTTTTTGTTCCATATTATTCAAACTTTCTTCATGCTTCTTAGATTGATTTAATGTCATTCTTTTGTGCAGAACAAATTCCAGACGAAGTTTAAACTATTGGAAGAAACCAAGTAATGGTGTAATTTTATTTTGCTATGGGTAGATAGTGTTGATGCAATTGGAGGAGATATGAAGTTGGTTACTATTTCTATCAATAAAAAATACATAAAGAAATAGAAGAAGACATGATAGCAGCTTGAAGAACACAGTAAGTCCACGAGAATAATTTTATTGAGTCATTCATCAAGACAATCAAGAAGATAGTGAATATATGAATCATTGTCTACTTACTACTATGTACATGGGAAGACCTGAAGAGAAAGAGATTTCAAAGACTACAATGTGCTATGCATGTGGACTAATCAGAAGAATTTTTCTTTTTCTTTTTTCTTGTAAGACTAAAATTCCAAAGGTTGTCAAGAAAAGAAACACATTATTTTGTATTTAAATTTAATTTGGATGAATAAAATTATAAGTTTATTTGTAAAATTCAAGGTGGTTTTGATAGGTGCACTACAAGAAAAATGGCCTAACCCGGCGGCCACAAAAAGTGTTGGATGAGATACATCTAAAATGGCGATTCTTATATGATCGCCAGTTTTGAACTAAACCAATATAAAATAAAAGACAGGGCGGCGGTTTTGTATTGTAACCCAGCGGGTTTTTCTTGAATCGGTCGTGAATCAATTCTAGAAAATTTATTCAAATTAAAGTGGTACCCACCATTCTTATATTTTTTTTGACAATTACCCTTACCAACATTTCTTTGCCTTTATCAACTGAGAGCTTCGTATGATTCTAGGGTTATTCAATCGATTCAGAGATTGCATTACCAATGTTAATTAACTAAGAAAGTTCTATATCTATCAGTTGAGAAATCTTTCCATCACCACTACCGTTCAATCTTACCATCGCTGAAGTCGCAATCATTCTTTATCACCGTTGCAACTCTAAGCACCCTAGGAGTAGGTAAATCCCATTTTCTTCTTTTCTTCACTTGGATCAAGGACTTGGATTTTAGATTGATCCCTACAAATCTTACGTCATTTTCAACTATTTTGTACACAACTTATCAAGAGATTTCAATTTTCACAATTTCACTCCACCTTCCTCTGTCAATTCTTGTGGACTCCAGAGGCTTATTTGTTTAAGCAAAATGGTCCTAGTCAATTTTAGTAGTCATGCCCACTGCTTTTTATCCTTTATTGTTCCCTTTACTTTTCCTAGTATCGTTTGAGCTTCAACAAATTATTTGGCATGGTTGTTTGAGTTTTTCTTAAACAGGAATTGCAGAAGAAGATACAATTGATTCCTATTGATTTACAAAATAGGCCTTCTTTGTACAAAGATATTGGAGTGACTGATTTCAGTATACGTTTAATGTCCCTTATAGATGAAATTGATCTTGCAATTTGGTTGAATATGTTTACTTATTTGATTAGTATATATTTGGCCAGCCCTACGTACTTTCTATGGTCTTTTTCTTGTAGGGTCTCTTGGATAGGAATGAAGATTGGAGTGACTGATGTAGCTCTTCTTTCTTTGATAGAATTTCTTTGCTAAGAAGAGTCTGGTATTTGCAGAAAGATATTGAGAAGATATACTGCAAGGTTAGCTCAGATATGTGGTTCTTCTTTTCATAACAAACTTGGTATGATTTAGGATAATTTGTCGCAATGGTGACTGGTTTTTAGTTTGTTGGTATGTAGCCTCTTCTTAAGATTATCTTGAAAATCTTGTTTTCTATCACTTTTCTTATTATGCCATTTCCTTGTATTTTTTTTAACCTCTTGTTCAGTTTCTGATGCAAAGCATATAAAAATAGAGGTTGTAGGGTCGAAGTCATGGACCCTGAACTGCTACTACAAGTGGTTGGTGTTCATCATCATGAAGGTCAACCTTTAAGCCCTAAGATTAGCAAGGTGACTAAAGCTTTCATTTTTCATGACCAGTTTTTCACTTTCTCTAGAGTCCTGTTTCATAGTGATTTGTGTTGTATATTCTTAACTAGTGATCAAAACTGTTACCATCTTAATGTTCTACTAAAAAATCCCACTCTTTGGTAATCTCAACTTGACCAAGTGAAAACTTGAAATAGTTTATAGGGAATTAAAAACAAGATGGTGTTTGCTTGGTCATTTCTCTTGTTCCAAGTGCATTTTGCTATACCTTTTTTGGCATGTTTCTTACTAGGAAGACAAGGAATAAAGATAAATAAATAATAAAAATAAAAAGGATGTAATACATTGCTTAGCCTTTCACTACTTGCTAAAAGGTGCATGTGATTTAATTGGCATGTAGATGGATAGAAGTAAGGAGTGTGGTTTAAGATATTCGGATCTGGGAGGAGGAAAGCATCTGTATGGGAAGAGAGGTGTTGTGCCCAAGAACTCATTACTGAGCTCTTTGTCAACTGGGCTTACCATGCATTTACTTGGACATTCATTTATTTATTTTAGATTTACTGCTTATGCTAATTGTATCCATTCCAGACATGTTTTAGGCAGAACCGGAGGAGATCATAAAGAAAGACCACCTACACAGAAAGAATTGACTCTAAGGAAATTAGACAAATGGACTATCTTTCCAAAATATGTTCTCTTTGACCTGAATTTTAAGTAGTGTTGACCAGATATTTGGACTATAACTGATTACAAAAATGTTTTGCTCTTGAAGGCGATTGATGAAAACACCGTGCCTCATTAATGTTCATTGCTAGCTTTCCAAGAAGCAAGAAAGGAGGTTAATATCAGTGGTCAATTTCTCTTCTCTATCTTCTACTACTTATTCCTTTTGCTTTCCTCCTAAGTAAACTCTCTCTCTCTCTCTCTCTCTCTCTCTCCATTTATTGAAATAAAATGGTCATTTCCTCAGGTTACACCATGCCAAAGGGATGGAAAGTTCTCATTTGATGGAAAGAATGGTGAAGGAGGATTAGGAGAAGAGGAATACCATAGACACCAAGAACCATGCAAATTTTGTTGCTTATTGTACATAGAAACAACTAAAGCTGGTCTGTGCCGGCGGTCATGATTGCCAGCACAGGGGAAAAAAAAATCTTTTAGTTGATAAACCTAAGGCGGCGGTCAAAACCGCCACCTTTATTAATGCTAAGCTAGTGGTTCTGACGTATCGCCGCTTTAGAGTTAATTGAATCATTTTGGACCGGCCTTCAAAGGCGGCACTCTTTTATGTCTAAGATGGCGGTCTTGACCTAAGCCGGCAATGGTTTAGGCGGCGGTCTTAAATGGCAGTCGATGCTGCCGCTAGAAAAACTCATGGCTGCCACTATAAATTTATAGCGGCAGTCACGACAACCACTAAAATTCATTAGTGGTAGTTTTCTATGTTTTATCGGCAACCGCTAAAATTGCCACTAGAACCTTTAGCAGCACTTGGTTTAGCAATAGTTTGCCGATTGCTGATAATAGTTTTAGTGACCATTTTTAGGACTTTTAGTGATAGTTTTGACTATTGCTAGAAATGATTTTTCTTGTAGTGGGAATCCAATTTCGGTTCCTAATTGAACCAAATAGGCGCTAGGGATAAGTGATTCCGATTCCAAGGGATTCGATCTAATTCCAATTCTGGACCATTCCATGAACCATTTAGAGAATAATATAATGAAAAAAGCCACTTGAACATCTCCCTCACTTCTCTAGTTAATCACGTTCCAATATCTGCTAGTTAAGTGGCTTATAATGTTGCTAGCAATAATAAGCATAAAGAAAGAATGTGTACATTATATGGATAAGTGGCCTGATGCATGAACAACATGGTAAAAGTTAAGAGATAAGAGATATGCCACACCCCATGTAAGAGATAATCCACATCCCATTGCACTTCAGGGCTCACATGATGGCACTCTAACTTATATATGGCATTCAATGGCTTATATATATATATATATACATATATAGGAAAACACATGGTAGCATTCATGGGAAAATACATGGTGGCACTAGGTTAAATATTCATCTCATGAATAAGTTCAGCGGTACGATACCACGAATAAGTTCAGCGGTACGATACCACCAATCTACGATCTCGCCTGCAGAAGTTTTTCTCTTTTTCTGCTTTCCCTTCTCCAGAAGACCCAGTTGTTTCCCAGCCTCCGTTATCGAGCTTGAATGGTGGAATTAGGATTCCTCATCCACCAACAGACCTCATTCTCTTTCTATTGCTTCTCAGAAAATTTCTCTCCCCGGCCTCTGTGACATGGGAAACACTTCGTCTATGCTTACTCAATACGACATTGAAGAAGTCCAGGAGCATTGCAACCATACCTGTAAGTAGATGCATACACTATGTTAAATCAGTTTTTAGGGTTTCTGAAGTAATGAGTAGACTTGGTATGCCTTTAACTGTGCAGTTTCACAGCAAGAAATCGTTTCGCTTTACCAAAGGTTCTGTCAGCTCGATCGAAATGGTGCTGGATTCATCTCTGCAGAGGAGTTCTTGTCTGTGCCGGAGTTTGCTGTCAATCCTCTCTGTCAGGTTTCTAATTGCTTATGCTTTTCTCTTTACAATCCCATAGCCATATGAACCAAATGATATGGAATTTCAGGATTTACGGGATTACTTGTCTCTGTTTTAGAGATTATTAAGGATGGTCGATGGATTGAATTTTAAGGAATTCGTGGCATTCTTGTCTGCCTTTAGTTCTCGTGCAACTATGCAACAGAAAATCGAATGTAATTGCTTCTGTTCTCTGCTCTTCCAGTAAATCATGTTTAGGGATCCAGCTTTCGTTCCTATTTTCTAACTGCAGGTTCTTATGTCGTTTGTTGTAGTTATATTCAAGGTTTATGATACGGATTGTAATGGGAAGGTCGCCTTCAATGATATATTAGATGTGTTGCGGGATCTGACTGGTTCATTTATGTCTGAACAGCAGAGGCAGGTCAGTTTATGATCAGTTCCCCATTGTCGGCGATTGCCTGCTCCCAAATTCTTTTGTTTTTCCTTATTTTGTTCTTCTGAGATGAGTTCATCTAAATTTGTAGTATATAATTGTTTTTTTATCAGCAATTTGTAGTATATAATTGTTAACTATTTATCTAACAATTTTAGGTATTCATCTCAACTCAGCTAAGCCTTTTCCAAGCTATTTGGAGTCGATGACATGCATAATTGCATATCCTATTCTCAATTTCATTATTTTTAATAATAAGTACTCAAGTCATTTCTGACCATTTCCACTAAGATCCTTTTCGGCCTTTCATTGTTCTTTTAAAAGTAGTCAACTTGCACTATCCCCTTTTAGTTGATAGCATCAAGACACGAGAATGAGTTTAATTGCCAGTGGATTCTTCATTATTATTTGGCTTTGGCTATATACTCCATAAAGAAGGTGGAGTTATTGAATAATAAATGAAATTTACAATGAAGACTTTGAAAACCAACTCTCCAGAATGAAAGTCCCTAAAAGCTGGTTCTTTCTCATTCATTTTTCTTCTGAATAATGATCTGAAAAATCCAGAGCCCATTGTTTGTAGTTGTTCCTGAAACGCAAATTGACAATCAAGTATAGGCTTAATATATGATAAATCCATTGCTAGATTATTATCTAAATAAAACAAAATGGAACACCTCTTTTTCTAAAAGCAGAACATTTCTAGGCATCACCAATCTGTAAATGGTGATACAAGTTCAAAGGAGTGAAAGGAAAAGGGAAAAGAGGAGCTACTGTAGTCATGTTAATGATTAGTCAGTAGATGCTGTATGTATTGTTCAATTATTACAAAAACCTTAGCTGTTGAACCTTTATGAATTTTGGTTTGCCCTTTACAAACAAATAAAGCTGTCCAAGTATGTTCTCCTTGATAGGGCAATATGTTACCAAATCATTCAATATGGAATCTGTTGTCTTACTTATCTTCTGAATGTCCTTTACTAGATCTTGTTTTTTACCCTCTAGTCTCTACTCTTAGTGCCTCAGGCTATTGCTTTATGTGTACATTGACCTTTCATATTCATCTTGCATTAGAATATTTGATTATATTTCCTGGCCAATCATGATTTAAAGTCTCTGTCTGGGCTATTATGTGCTGTGTATCCTTCCATTTGATTGTGACCAGAAACAAAAGATGTAAGGTCTGTATGTTAAATTATATGTTTATTTCCTTCTCTTTTTTCCATTTTTTGTACAGCAAGTTCTGGCACATGTACTTGAGGAAGCAGGCTACTCGAAGGATTCTTTGTTAGAGCTAGCTGACTTCATAAAGGTCTGTGTTTATCTTAAATGAACATTTTTATGTTCCTTAAGTTAGGTATAGATGCAACTTTGAAAATGTTACTTATGATCACCATATGTATGTGTGTGTCATTTCATGCTCTAGTTAGAAGATAATACCTAAAACCATGTAATATGCAATTATGCATTAGGGGGTTAACTGGCTTTACCAGAAAAGGCAATTGAGGCTCAAAAGTACTTCTATTTAGAAACATAATGCATCACATCCTAAGCACAAAGAAGAGAACTAGTGAAGTGAAAGGGTCAAATCCATGAATCCTTATGATACACACACACACACACAACAATTACTAATCATGAAAATGAATATTTTCCTCTGTATTAATGCATGTTTAAGTTAACTTGACAACAACAATATGACTATGCACCTATATCTATAGTTTTATTTAACTGCTGAGTACCGTAGGATACTTGTATTATGCATGGGTGGTAACTAAGAAAATTTGTGGAAGTTGTAACGAAGGTGTACTGAGGGTTAAGCTTTGTTTTTGAAGTTCATTGCTGATCTTTGCTAATCGTTTATTGCTATTGTAGGGATGGGGGGGGGGGGTAGGGCTTTCTTTTGGGTAGAACAATATGTAGGAAAAGTTAGCTGATGTGATGCAGGAAACCACCCAAACAGCAGCTAATTAGGTGGCTGAATTGCCTAAGCAAGATGGAAACAGGCCTACAAAACCCTCAGCTTTGCTTGTCCACATACTAGTCTGGACAGAGCATAAAGATTGAAAAATAATCAGTAAACAATTAAAGCAGAATTGAAATTGGGGTGAAATTGATCTCAAATGGTGCTTAAGTTTTGGGAAAAAAAAAAAGAGAACTGATGAGGATGCCTGCTGTATTACTTAGAGGGAATTGAAGATATTCAATAGCAAAGAAAATGCGAAGGTAAGAGAGAAAAGATTAATGGGAAAGTCAGAGGCATGTAGAAGTTAAGGACATAACCTAAAATGCAATTGGAGGGAAGAACAATAATGAAAATAAACCTGGAATATTAAGGCAGATAATTAATAGATTTTCTACCAAGAACTAAGCTAATTGCAGTAAACATAAGATAGGTTTTAATGGAGTCAGCAGCATTAGGTTCCTCTAGGAGTCGTCACCTAGAGATGAAGCCAACACCTTCATTAGCTTGGAGTCAGCACAAAACCATAAAA